AGAGAAGAACAGTTAATATATGGCGCGGGTGATATGAAAAAAGAAATGATAAAAGAAACGGTCTTGAGCAAAGATCGCGGCCGCCCTCTTGCCGGGACTTGTTAGCAGCTTGACGATTGCAAAGTACATTTTTGAGACAAACACTAGCAAATTAGCTTTTCGTTGCTGATTAATATTCAGTTATTTCTTGTCCTTTTGCGGAAGGCGATAATATAGCAGCCGATTTACATTTTGCCTTGTTTCATAAAAAGCGCGAGTCGGGCCACACTGCACCAGACGCCGGGTAGACGCCGACGAAAAGCGGGGATACGGTCCATTCGTCACATGCACACTCGTCACAGGGCGATTGGTCACAGGACGATTCGTCACACAGGAACATTCGTCATAGGACGACTCGTCACGCGGCCAACCGGTCCCACAATAGTTCGTCCCCCCAAAAATGTATTGTTCAATTTGGTTCGGGCGGACAAAGTGGCTCACCTGATATCTTACCTGTTTGGCTTCTGAAAGGCGAAGAATTTGTAACAAACGTTTTAGCTTCTGGTTCGGTCCCGAACGTTGAATGTTGGTTCGGCCTCACAAAGTGGGTCACCTCTTATTTTGGCATGTCTTTCGCTTCCCAAGGTCAAAGAATTTTTAACAGACGTTTTAGCTTCTGGGTCCGTCCCGAACGGTGAATTGGGAGGCCATATAAGAGCGACTACTTGTAAACTCAGACTACATTCACAATAATGGAGGTGATCGCAACAGAGACAGGTGGAGCCATGATGCTGCACGAGGGGTACTCGTACACATTCAGCAGAAAGAATTCCGATACTTATTGATTTTGTCGAATATGTGTATGCAACTCAAAAGTAAAAACTGATTTGGCTGCCAGTCGGATTATTGATCGTTCAATCCAGCAACTGAGATCAACTTGCTGAAGACTCGGAATATAATGAAAGTAAAAGCGGGGGAATATTGTAAGAATATTAGTTTTCCTAACCATTGGTTTATGTGACAGTGGGAAGGCGTGAAACTCCTCATCAGGGAATATGGGCAGTTGTTGAAATTTGCGATTTACTATCGTCCCCTGCCCGATCGATGTGGCCAGTTGCCCGCATGACGAGTCCTCCTGTCACGAATGTTCCCATGGGACGAATCGTCCTGTGACCAATCGTCCTGTGACGAGTGCGCATGTGACGAATCGTCCTCATCCCGAAAAGCGCCGTGTATTGGTTTGACGACATTCCCCCTTTCCCTTCGGTGAAAAAAGTGCCTGCCAAATGCCGTGGTTACGACCGCTGAAACGCGGGTAAATTCGTCGAGAATAGAAACGTCTGTCCTGCAGCAACGTAATACAAGACGGTACAATATAGTTGAACGACAATCTAAAAGTCCATTACCGAAAAACGTCCACAAAGCTGGTGGCTTGGTGATGTAGACTTCCACTGAAGAGGTGAAATCCCGAAATATTAAAGGAAAAAATGTTTTTAATAACAAATTCCGTAATCCCACAAATTTCCCCATCTGCTAGTCCGTCCTTCCCTGTATTTACCCGCTTAATTGTATATTTTATAGTATAAGTGACGTTACATGGACTTAGGGTATCACCTGGCACTACGACTTAACACCGGAATGTCGCATCACGTGACAATGCACAACGCGCGGCGTGAAAACACGTGAAGTCAATTTCCCCGCTGTTGAGCAAAAATAGGGAAGAAAATGTAACATCAAAGTATAAAGCGACACCACAACATGCAACTGTGCAGTCAAATTCCCTCCATAAATTTAGCTAAGAACTTCCTGTCGCTGTGATGTCCTGTCATGTGACCACTTCGTGTGCCCTCATGCCCCCAGTGATGTAACGTCATGGTGTCTCGTCTCCACGATTTTGCACCTTGACGTCACTTTTTTCCCTAAATCCGCTGGGTTATCAAATGATAAGGCTGAAAGAGAATGGAGTAAAAAAATTCTCAAAGTGAGAAAGGTTAGCTGTTTTTTATTTCTTCCACGGCTGAGTGCAGCGGATGTGGTGTTTAAAACGAAAATTGTTTATCGGCCAGATTTCATGCGAAAAACGTTAAACTCGAGTGTGACAAAATATTGTAATGCACTAGTGAAGGAAACATCCAGCATACACGGTCAATCGTAGGCAATGCATAAGCAAACGGAGAGGAGGCATTCGTAATTAAAAGTAACAATAGATATTCCCCAAGCTGCTCTTTCTGAATCAAATTCCAGACCGCGCGATTCGGAGCTCGACAACTTGGCGCTGCTTCACGAGGAGGAGATGAAACAGGGCGGAAACAGCAGGGCCATGTATGACTCATCGTAGGCTGCGTAAATAGGTGGCCGTCGGCGCTCGCTGCTGGTACTCGAATAACCAAGCGTAGCTCACCACTTGATCCCACACCGTAACGCTGCTGATCATAACGCACCAACTAATGGCGCAGCAAGCGTATGGCATCACGACATAGCACAGTAGTCAATAAATAGATGCGCGGGTACGGTAAAGCTCTTCTTCTCGTGATTACTTCAGTTACCGCAAGGGTGCCCCTCGAAACCCAAGAGCACAAAGAGCTCAAGATGCCGAAACCTCCCTCGGAATAAGCAGAACGCAAATACTCTATTAGGAGAATTCAACATGCTTCGCTCATTTGCATTAGACAGCGAAACTTCAGCGTCAAATCGTCTCCAAGTGATTTGAAAACCCCCTGTCCGACTGAACACATGCGCATCGAGCTGTTCTTTCGCTCTGCACTAATGGAATGGGCAGCCATCAATACGCCGATATACCGGATCTGCCAAGAAAAAAGAGACGGCTCTCTCTGCTGTCTAGGGTGGTTTCCACTACAATAGAAGGCGGCAGCAACCCCTTCCAGTTCAAAGTAAAACGCCGCAAGGTTTTTCGTTTTGAATTGGGATGGGTTGCTGCCATACGTACTATGCAAAAGCTGGCAGCACGAAGGCCATTGGATTTTCGCGAACTAAGATGCAATCCACACGCGTAAAGTATTTGCAACACCCGTGGAAACGTCTCATAAGCCTTACCCCTCACAGACTTAAATCCTGAATGCTTTTAACATTGTCTTTATCATTTTAATAAATTTGCTGAGCACATGTGTGTGTCACGTGTGCAACTTATCCAAGACCACGCAAAGTTTCACGTTACCAAGCATAACTATACTCGGGGCCAAATTTCATTGGGAATGCAGTCATAGGCACGGGCACGCGTGACCTCTCCCATTTTTAGCGCTGATTAAACTACGCGCTTGCTCTCATTCGCTCTTAGGAAATACCAAGAGACGTTGTTCCCTAGATAGCCATAATGCAAGCCAACACGACACATTCTGCGCTTCTTGACTTTGCGAGAATGTTCAAGACAAGTTTAAATTTTTTCAGCATCCGTTGAATATTGGTCAGGAAACCGTAATACTTGGTCACAAGGGTCAATTCAGAATCGACGCTCAAGTTACTCAGCGCTAAACGGCAGCTGGTACGATGAGTCAGGGTGACGTCGGTGCTGCCCATCTGACATCCCAGAGATATCGGTTGAACCAATATGGTAGCGGAACAATATTTTTGACCTGACACACATATTAGCGCGATACAGTGTTCTGCCTAATTATTTAATGTTTTAAAACGTTTGTTGGAAGCTAGATTAGTTTTAGCACATAATACTTTTTTACACTTACATTTATAAAAAAAAATGCGCAAGCTAGATCATGCTGTTTGAGCGCAAACCACACGCAACGTGTGTGGTTTGCGTTAGGTTTGTCGCATTCACATCAGCTAGAAACCATAACCTCATGTTTGTTTTGCACTCAACCCATTCAATGCTCTCCAGTCGTTGGCAGCATAATCACGCTTCTGTACTTTTATTCTGGGTGAACCGAGAGACTCCTGTGTGAACATATATGTAATTATTCACAACATATATTTCTATGTTACGCTCCGTACTAGTTTTCCTCGAGGTCATGGCGATGGACTTGAAAAGTGCGAGCGGTCTCTATGCCTATATAAACGCTACCCTCGTCTTATATGGCTGTAGCGTGATGTGCGACTTCAGATGAGGCGATCAGTCAGTTGAAATGATGCAAAGCCGCCGGGTTGCTCCTCTCTTGTGAAGCTCCTCCTTGTCCGGTTGTCCGTAATACAGCTGCTTGTCGCGCAGATGCTCGCCGCTCAGCTAGGCTGTTTCGCTCAGTTTGTATAGCATCGGAATGGGAATCACTCAGTCCCAAGTTTAACCACTGACGGGAGTGTTTTCTCCAATTCGATTTTAAATAGGGCCTATGAGCCTACGTGCTTCGTTTATCCCGTCAAGCTATGTGTAAACATCGGCCGTATCAGTTGATCGTTTCGGTTTCGGCATAACACAAGGTCAATAACGTACAATCTGTGTTAGAACTGTAACGCTCCACTGTCACACGTAGGTTAAAGCGATATGGGGCATACACCTCCATAAGTCCCTTCAACAGTAGAAAATACATGAAATTAATGAGTAATAAATAGTAAGAAACTAATTTAGATAGTGTACAGAATATACTTTTTCAAACGCAGTTTAATACACTAATGTATCAGCAAAAACCTCTTACTACAGTAACCTGATGAAAGAGTATGACATAGGAAAAGCCTGGAACTTTAAAGGGACTAGCTATGGCAAGAATGATTCCTCATAGCGCCTGAAATTCCAGTGGTACACGCGTCAGCATCGCGGGTGATCTTTTACGGCGTCTAAAGACGTATTTAATGTAAGCAGTTCATGCTATACCTGAATTAATTCTCCATTTCACAGGAAAAAGGCATTGCCGTTTCTGGAAAGCCAATTTGTTCGAAAGCTGCCCCACGTGTGCAAAAAACACGATACTCACCAAGAACCAGGTGTTCTCTATCCGCTTAACGTGAGGAATGGGGACAGTGACAGTACTGTGGCAACCTCTATAATGAGAATGTTCCATATCACCTATTGTTCACAGACTATAGAGTAAGCCAGAGGTGTGAAGTCCGGATGCAACATGGCGCATCCCGTTGAGTACGTCGTGTTCGCAATATTGATGGCTACAAATTTGGGCTTGGGTCTTTACTTTGCGATCCGAACGAAGAACAGCATTGTGACGTTGGACGAGGTTTTCCTGGGCAGTCGCACCCTGAAGACACTGCCACTCGCCATGTCAGCGTTCGCCTCGATGATGTCTTCTGGAATGATTATAGTCATGCCGGCCTATTACTACAAGCATGGCTTTCACATGGGGTACATGTTCCTCGTACTTGTCATCCTTATTCCTGTGACCACCCGTATCATCATCCCCGTGCTCTACCGTTTGAAAGTTACGTCTGTTTTTGAGGTAAGAAAATCCTAAATTTTCCACTAAATCAGAGTTGGGGTGGTGGTAAAACTTGTTGATTTTCAATGTTTCGATGTGGTTGGACAACATTTATTGGGGAGCCTCCGAACGTTTAGCACTCCTGCTTACATGTACTTTTGACATGAATGGCAGAACACCAAACAACTCAGATTATCCTTGAGATTAATGATTATATTAACCACAATAAAAACTGCTAGAAAATGGCTGCGAAAGTTATTTGCTATACGCACGGGCCTTATTGTAGCTGAAGTCAGGTAAGATGATCTATCAAAAATGCGTCTCTCGTGTCATTCCTCAATCGAGACTCAGGAATACCGTATAGGGGCTTGCGCGAGACCATGATGCAGTGCTACTTCCGGCTCAAAATCTCGGTGGAATCCATGTCAGTGAATTTCACCTGCTTTCGTCTCGTGTGTTTCTATGCGCGGACGCCGTGGAGGCAGTGCTTTTCAGATCGCTCGATTATTTTAGCGTCATGATCCACCGCTCTAGCCAGAATAGTAGCCAACATAAAGGAGCATGGCCGACCTCTACGCTTATACATACCGATTTTTATTCGGTGCTAAAACGGGCCGGCACTTGACAAGGGCGATTCTAAGCGGGCAGAATGACCCCAACAGCGCCGAAAAAACAACAAAAACAACTAAGGTTGGGTTTAGGCGTCCCAAAACAGTTCGTTATCACATTTTGAGTTCTGCTTGCTTCTGTGTTCTACCCACATCAAAAATAACGCAAATAAAATCGCTTGCGCGCCAAGAAATAGACACAATAGCCTAAAGCGTTACCGGCAAGAATAAACAAGGCTGATTTACGTTAGATTTCGTGTTCTTCACACGAGTTAAACCGGAACTGACATCAGGCGCAAGCGCTCTAAGAACATGGATCGCCACATAGGCACCGCGCGAAATACGTCAACGTTGTCGATGTTCTACGCGCGGAGGTCTCAGGGAGGTTAGGGAGAGCTGAGAAGCGATAAAAGAACCGCACTTCGGTTATACATACAGACAAGTTATCCCCGTACTCGATGAGTGGGTAGCACACAAGACGCATTATCCTGCACAAAAGACAGTTTGCATGCCGTGTGGAGTAAGTTCTATGTGTGTTGAATTTAACTGAAAATATTCGCCCTTTTCTAAGTTTCATCGGTTATTTTTAAACTGCGAAATTTAGACTAAATAACTGGGGTTTCGATACACCATAGTTTAACTCACACAACAGTAAGGCATTCATATAATAGTGAATAAAGAAGGACCTTAAAAATTATAGGACATAGAGGTAGATATGGCGAACATTTAAGAGTGTTTCGGTGCGCGAACCAATGAGGGCAAAATGCCTAGATGAATAAAAAAGCCATAGGATTGGTACATGTAAAAAATATTGGTTATTATCAAACAGAAGGCCTCTTTGAAACTAATATACAATATGTGGAGAGGGTGTATGAGAAGTAAAAAGAAAACCAGGGTTAATTTTAGTCATCCAGTCATGTGTAAAATTTCTGAAGTCCAAGCGAGTTTTTTGATGGGACGAAGAAGCGCCATCGGCAGGAGAGCTTTCGAGGTCATAGGGCCAGTTTTGTCGAATTGTAAGACATTTCTCATGTAGTGGAGAAAAATTAAAGCTGAAAGGAACAAAGTAAAACGTGATTTGAACGCGAGTAAAAATGGCGAATATTTTTTAACCCTCCAAAAATGCAGTTTCGAATTTTCGCTTCTCTGAAATGAGATAGAGCTACAACCAGAAAAGTCCAAGGCAGTCTTGTATAGTTTCCAGGCTCAATGTCGTGTTTAGGACAGGTATACACCTTTCCGAGAAACCCTCGGCCCAAGACATAAGAGAGCCTTTTTTCGAGGCCATTCAATGGGTTTGAGGCTAGTCTCTCACCGGTGTCCCTGGTAGCCCTAAGCGTGTGAACTGTTGATTTGGATAGTTGCAGTCTGAGACATTGATGCCACTAAATGTTCGCTTTTTTCCGGTTGTTTTTGTCTGCATTCCTTGGTGTCTGTATTTTCTCCATGACATTGAGAGAGCATTAAAGCACAGTGACAACAACAAAAAATATAAACTATTTTTTTGGAGGGGGGAGTTGTGCTTGTGCGTGAGAGAGCGAAAGCGACTGGAATATTTGTTTTATTTTATTATGAGTTTGAACCGGACCGCCCGCTCATGCGTGGAAATCGATAAAAGGCTTAGCTGTCGAAAGCAATTTGCAACAGAAGATAGCCGAAATGTATGCGTATTTCACGCGCACAAATAACGTGGTTACCGATCTACACGACAGGGTTCGATCTTTAAATTTAGCGAGTCTCAACATTCGAACGCTCTAATGTACAGTAATGCAGGTACCAAAACAACACCACGCGAGCGGGCGTCTTTTTTTTTTTTTTTTTTTTGGAGATTACAAATAACCTAGCAAAACATGTCGACGACAGTGACTTCTCGATGATCGGACGGAATCAAATGGGACTTCGTTTCGGGGCACGTTTGGGGGAGAGATCTTTTTTTCACAACACCAAAGCAAAATAACGGAATCTATTGGTCGTTTGCAACCTGATCTTCAACACCTATTTTAGAGCGTGAGCTCTCGATGGCTCGTTCCCCGGTTTTTCAACGGCGTGAGCGTAAACGAAAAGTTTCCCTACTAAATTTAGCGGAAAAATTCACATCACGTGGCTTATGCACCAATTTAATTTCCCGGCTAAATTTTGAGGGAAAAATTTTCACATGCCCTGCCGTCACAAGACCTACAGACAAATTCAGATTCCCCGATGTATTTAGCGGGGAATTTGACGTCACGTGACCCGCACCAATTCAGTTTCCCTGCGAAACGCGATGGGGAAATTGATGTCACGTGAACTTACGACACTGGACCGACCTAAAAAATCAGGTTCCCTTCTAAATTTAGCGCAAAACTCGCGTCACATAACCTATGCACCAAAAGCTTCCCTGTTAATTTTGGCGAGAAGACACATCACGACCTTAAAATTATTTATTCATCAACGACGTATCGACGCTAACTCGCGGCTAACTGATGTGGTATCTCTCATTATCAGACAGTTACTGGCCGTCTTTCCTAAGTACCTCAGCACCTTGTGCCTTAACACCCGGGGTGGCGACGACACTGTTTTGAAAAGCTCATCTCCGTATGCAGGAAACCCGACATTTTAGCTTTTTTTACTTCGCACAAAATAAAAAGATACCTTTGGAGCCCGCAGATTCTTTCGTACATGGAATTAGCGACCTAATTTTGCTTTACAGTATATATAAGCCGAATATGTGTTTACTAAGTAACAATCGCCTTGAGCTCATTTCACATATACAAAGTATTTGCTGAAAACATATTTTTAATATTTTCCTGGCTGAAAAATTCTGCCTCAGTGGAAGACAATTTTACCAAATTTGCAGGTCTGTGATGTGTTTCGTTTGTGCGCGTCATCCCTATATACGCTGGCCTTCGAAAGGTATGTGAGCAGCTCAGCTACTCACGCGCGTTTTAGGTTTATTAAACAGTGTATACATATTCTACAATACTAAAGAATCGACTTCTTGATGGTAGAAATCTGAGAAATGATAACAGCTTTCATTATTTTACGTTACCTTTACAGTACGTCCGCATGCGGTTCGGAACAAAGACTTCTCTCGCCACGTGTCTGCTTTACTTCTTCCTCATGGTGAGTTGATGCGCTCTCACTTGGTCGGTCTTTTGAGTCCCTAGTCAATGCCTCAGCTACCTCGACGCACCATCTCAGGAGTGCTGAAGAGGTATAGACTCAGCATACACGTGACAACGCTAATTTTTCATCTTTCAGCAAACCACTGGAGCTGTGTCCATATTCGCCTCTTCGGTGGCGATATCTGCGGGTAAATCCTTGGCTTCTCTTATTAGATTTCTTTATTAACCTGGAGCTTAATGTAGGACATTACAGTAGCGTTATGATGGCCTGAAGAATTTGTCAGTGGGACACCGCGTCAAATTTGGGTATTCTGAAGACTCATAATCAATATCCCTGTTTTATTTAAGTTTCCCAATTAGCAGCAGGTCAGTAATTGATTGTAGTTGAATGTATCTTGTTGTCCTGGTCGAGACGAGATAAAAGATGCTTTGGTTGTACAAGCGTTGTCTATGTTCTAACGCCGTGAGTGCAGGTATGCTAGCCGATGTAGAAGACATTTTGTACGCTTGTTGATCGATTTGTTTTCGGAACTTTCTATTTCAAGGTGGCAGAAGTTCTAGCTGTGTATATGACGGTCGTCTGGGCCTCTTTCGCGGTCTATTTCAAAAGACGGTCCTCTTAGCCTTGGTATGGATCGTTCTACCCAAGCTCCTGGGTCGGGCTGTCGGTTGCCAGCCGTTTATTTTAAAATAGAGTTCCCCCACCGAGTGTTTTTTTTTTTTCAGTTGTTCTGCTCCTTGCCATGTGGACACCCTCACTGTGTATAATAAGTTATATGAGAGAAAACCATGTAGAGGAAGGTTCGTCAAGAAATTATTACATCCTAGTAGGGATTTCCACGAGGACGCTTCTAGCCTGCAGCAAAAAGGGGGTGCCGGTTCTACAAGGAGTACCCTTAAATAGCTAAATAGTACCTAAGTGTACGTGGATAGTCGTGGCAAGCTAATTGGTCACGCGGGATGATTCCGTGACTACGTCACGATGGTGCTCGGTATACTCCGTTCGTCCTCAACTGAGACTGCAGCTAAAGCAACAGGCGCGAGCTAGCACGCGCTTCTGGTTTTTAGACGTGCCTTTCTGGTACAGCGTTCTCTCTGCAGATGAACGTCACAAAGCCGTGATCTTGTTCTTTCGTGATTGTGGCATAGGCTGCAATTTTAGCTAAAAGTTAATTTGAGTATAATGGCGTACAGCTTTTAGCAGATATTTTCACTTCTACGAACAGAAAAAAAAACCTGCAAATTTCCAGAAAATATTATTAAGAAAATCTTAGGAAGGTGCGGCACCATAGCACAATTTTCAATAAATAGCTAATGTGCCAAACCTAAAATGTATCAAAATTTCTAAAGCCAGAAACTTGGAGCGCATTATTTACTCCTCATTATTTTTGTTAAAAGTTTATTGAAAACACGTTTCGCTGCGGTTGCAAACGAGCATTTGGTTATATATCCCCAGTTAAGACCACTGTATATTTATGATTGAATTTTAATATCAGCGAAAAATATAATACTAAATGTTATTGTGTTCAATAAGTTAACAGATCATCGAATTCTCCACCGCTTCCTTTGGTTAGAGAGGGCCACAACTGTCATTGACAGTTTAGATCTGCCAAAAATGTTTACGAGTGTGATTGGAAAAATATCCCACTCACCAGAGTCACGGTGAGAGGACGCTAGTCACCTCCTAAATTTACCAGCAGTTCACTTTAGCTATTCCATGCATTCCCTTTGCTACTTTTATGCACAACAGTTTTAAAGCCGTTTAATATACAGTTGTTCTCAAGGCGAGGCGCTTGTGTCCGCACCACGGTGTCAGATAATACTCTTCAGGTGAGGACAGCGCGCTCCTCGCGCAGTGCAGATAAAGTTCGCTTTCACTCTCTCTTTCTCTCTCTCACTATGGTTTCAAGCGGCGCCGGCAGATGACTCCTCGGCCCGTGGGCACGGCAAAGACGGCTCGTGCCGCCTCGTGGTCCTTACGCGCAGAGCTGCAGCGAGGTTGTCACTCGTGCAGGAAGACCACGGTGTACCGGGGTGTTATGGCAACGAGATCATTTTCTTCGCTCTCACACAGTTTCGCCATTTGGCCATCGGCGACACTGTCAGCCGCGGGCATGGTGGCCGCGCAATAATGCAGCTTTTTGGATGCCCGTCGAACGAACACTATCTGATTCCTCGCGCCCCGCGTTCAGCCCTGCCGTGTCCTCACCTAAAGATTGTACCTTACACCGTGGTCCGCAGTGAGTAAAATAAAAACAAATAATATCAACCTTTCTATTCCTTAAAATACCTTCCCAGAAGGTACAACATATCTTGCAAGTAAACATCAATAAAACTAGAAGAAACAAAAATATTCCAAAGCACATATAAAAACAACTGAAGACTGACGCTTGATTGACGAACAAAACAATCCCTTAAAATTTTAGTGCAGTAAAGCTCATTCATATCCGCAGCAATAATTTATAAGGCAAACAGAACATATCTAATGACCCTGAGATTTTTTCTTTTAAATTTTTGTTTTAAGCTTTTAAGTTTAATATGAGTAAGCTATTTTGTTTTGTTTGAAAATGCGCTAAGATGCACAAGTTAGCATAACATTTTTTCATGCTCTGCCTTGTCGTAGTCTTCTGCGACCAGTCATATATTAAAAATTGGGTTCTCATAAATGCTCCATTAATTTAGCTGGTTTAATTTACAATACCTCACGAGCTTTATTGGTGCTAGAGATCACAGAAGCCGACTTTCGTTTACTAGTGACAGAAACTGTTGTGATGAAGATGTTTCAAAGCTAGAGAGCTCAATCTAAATAAATACATAACTGGACTGCATTTGTGGTACCTGAGCATATGAAAGAAGCCGTTCTTCCCGGCGCAATGTTGGAATTCATTTCTCTAATGTAAAAAGATGAATTACGGACTCGATATTTCTTTTTTCCAGTGTTCCACATTCCCGTTATCTGGAGCAGTTTTACAATTGGTGTGGCTGGCACCATCTATACGGCTCTTGTGAGTATTGTCATAAATATACTGCGTCAACATAAATCTTTACATTTTTCAAATCTTGATCGTGAGCCCAGGGTTAAAGATATATGAACACTGAAGCAGAGAAAAATCGCATCAGTGTTTTATTCTACACGACCGAGTCTCAGAATAGTTATTCAAATCCAATTCACCGACATTATGGTCGAAGTATCATTAGAGGCTGAATAATTACGTGTAGTATTTTTTAGAACTGCGCTAACGTGAAGGGCCGTCTTTTATTCAGGGAAATCGTATTTGCCTAAGAGATTACGTATTAATGCGACAATAAGCTTTTAAAAGAATTTGTAAACTGTTTCTACTACTTTTTTAACGCCACCAATTTAATAATAGCATTATCACTACATGCTTGTAAAGGCTAACGGCAGCACCTTGAAACACAGAAAGTGTGGTGAAGTCAGTTTGTAAACGCTTTTCAATACGTTGTTGTGATAGGAAAAGTCAGGATTACGCCATTTTTAAGGGGGACACTACCCAAAAAAAGAGAATGTTTGAACCACTTGTTTGATTTAAATGGCATTTACAGGGCTTGTTTCTGTTCATGTTGCAAACATTTCTGCCAACGTTTGTTAACCTGAGAGAAGTAGAAAAAAAACTGCAAATGTTCAAAGATGAAAGTAGGCGTGTCTGCGTAGGAAAACTATCGCTTTGAAGTTGCGCATAAATTTGTCGTTTCAATGTGTTATATTGCTTAAGGAGAGTTCAGAGCCGATCGCTATGGAGCTATATTTCTATATTATACCATATCATATGCCCAAAAAAAAGCCACATAAACACAAATACTGATTTTTTTAGATTTCCATCCTTTGTCAACAATTTTAGTTCTTGACCATAAAAAACGAAAAAAAAAGTAAAGAGTACAAGCCCATAGCTATCTTCCCCTTAAAATTTCACCCCAGGAAAACTCAGAAATATGAATCTAGGTTGCGTAATTCATATTTTACGTAAAGGGAAATTTATGTCGAAAAGTGTAACGAAGAAAAATGGGTTCAAAGTGCTCCAATCTCTTCGTGGTCTTTAGCATCGGTGGACCGAAAATTATTTATAAAAAATTAAAAACGCAGTATAAAAAAATAAACTTTCTGGGAACCCTCTAGATCAGTGGTTTCCAAATGGGGGTCCGCGAAGCCACTTCTGGGGTCCGCGAGACCCTGAGCAAATTTTTTTTGTTTTTTTTTTTGTTTGCACGTTTTTTGTACTCCAGTCCGGACGTGACTAATTTGCAACCTGCTTCCGGAACTACGACAGCAATCCGCACGAGATCATCTCGGTCACCTCCTTTCCCTCTTCCCACACCTTCCCGAACTACGTGTCTCGGGTGCCCCGCGGCGGGATTATCACATCGCATATCCTGATTTTCGACTGGCATCGGTGGCTGTGCCATGGAGTCTCACCCGGTTGGCCTAGGACGCAAAGTTACGTGTTTGTCTGAGCCGCGTAGCCATGTCCAAGTAGCAATAAAAGGTACCTGTTTCATGCTCCCGATCTGCTAACTTACTTACGTACCCCCCCCCCCCCCCCCCCCCCCCCCCCCCCGCTGGAAGGGGTCCCCCATCACTGCCAGCGGTCCTTAAAGCGGTCATGAAACGCTTTTCCAACTTTTTCCTGTTTAGCTTTCCTCCTCCACTCATAAATCGCGCATTCCACCAAACAGTTAAAGATGACGAAAAGAAGGGAGGCTTCTCTCGCTTGGAATCTGGTTTGTGTAACCGGACAGAGCCATTGTCCCCCTAGAAGATTATCCCGTCGCTCAAAGTTCAGACAAAAGTTGCTTTCCCCACCCCGTTCATTCCGAAGCTGACAGTGCTGTTGAAGCTACGTGCTCGTTGGGCCAGCCACACTTGCTACGTGAGCGTGGCAAATGGGGCTGCAGAGAATGAAGTCAGGTGATGAAAGGAAGGCGGCTGATTGGTCCGGCAAGCGCGTAGCTTCCACCACAATGTCAGCTTAGAAGTGAAGGTAATAAGTTAGGTCCGGTTGCGTGTGACGACAGCTTGGACCCGATGACGCGCTTTTGGGACCGCGGATGTATCACAGTGAAAAGGCAGAGAGGTTGCGAAGGGGAGGAGGTACGAAATAGTCCGCTGTGTTTTCAAATTTTCGCACTGAAAGTCAGGCTTTTGACTTTCTACCTTTTTTCTTTTGGTCCACTGAACGATGTTCTATTAGTAAAATCCCAATCTAAAATGATTTATCCCAACCCTAAAATTGTTTCATGGGCCCTTTAAGGGGTCCCCGACACATCCATGGCTGGGAACCACTGCTCTAGATGTTGGTGGATCTAAATATGGCATTTTTCAATATCAGCTTTGTAAAAAAATGGTTTTGTCTGGGTA